ATCGTAGCCCTCACAACACACTACTGGAGTGGCTACGGGCCGTCACGTACCCGTAATAATAGTACGTCTGAACGGTTTATTTCCCAAAAATCCTTTTCTGATGTTCTTTTTTGGCTAATAACAGCAAGCTGAGTAAACTGAAAGACAGGAGCTATTATATATTATATATATATATAATATATTATTAAATTAATATCACCCACCTCAACAAATTCACGTCAGTGGATTAAAGATTTCTAAATGCGTACGTTGTTAAAGGTACTGAAACACACATTATCATTCTTTCATGTCAGGGGAAACATACAACATATCTCTTACTTTCCCAAAGGATGTTTATTGATATGGAACTTTATGCGTCTCTTCTTCTTTTGTCTACCTCTTGCTGCGTGGTTGGATTCCTAGCAGCTCAGCAACTAGTAAGAACAGTGAGACAGAAGTTCGGGTTCAGCATCGCAGAGACTGTTAGCTGGCCTCCTTCATGTCTCTAAAGTCTGTCAAAGGAGATTTGTTGTGAACATATCAGTTGCGATGTGTGTGTGTAGTTTATGAAAAAAATCCCCTTTTTAGCTATATCCATTCATCGTGAATTTGTTCTTTTCTTAATATATTAAATGCAGGTACATGTAAAAATGCTTGTTCTTCAGGCAGTCTCATATTTGGTTGTGTGTGTTTTTTCATTTTGCTGTAGTCAGCAGTTCCTGGTGGTGTCCTCTGTATAAACTGGTCATGTTTTGAAGTTGTGTAAAAATGTCTTGTCCCTGATACTGCGTGAGGACACTGTGTTTGTCTGACTGCGAGTTGTGTTTTGTCTCGTCCAGCGCTGCGCGGCTCTGGCCTGATGTCTGGCAGCAGGACTCCTCATGCAGCATCATCAGCTCCAGCCAGCTTGCTGTCCCTCGCAGCCTTTCAGCGGTACTACACACACACACACACACACACACACACACACACACACAACACACACACCACACACACACAACACACACACACACACACACACACACTGGCAGCCATCGCCACTAATCACACACATAAACAACACAAAGATATTTACTACATTGTTTAAATAATGTCTTTAAATCACCAAGCTTATTAACCTCTCTCCCTCCCATTGTTTCCCTCCCTTTCTTGTCTGAAATTTCATTCACACTCATTTGTTTCCTCTTGCTCGCTCCTTATTTCCTCCTCTCTCCCCCTCCTGTTCTCATCTTTGCTCCTCCCTCCATCCCTCCCTCCTTCTCTCCCCCAGGAGCATCAGCAGGTGTTGCTCTACCAACTATTGCAGCAGCAGCAGGACCTCCAGCAGCTGCAGTCTCTCTCCTCCTCTGCCCAGATTCCCTCCATCCCTCTCTCCTCTGCTCAGCTGCCCATCAGCAACCTGCTGCCCGGCGCCCAGAGCCAGGGCCAAGGCGCCATCACCGCCAACCCCTTCCTGGCGCTGCAGCACGCACACGCTGACACGCACGCCTCGGGGGCACAGAAGCCGCGGCTAGCTGAGAAGGCCGTGGGCGTCGCAGGGCAGGAGAAGACATGACGGCAGATGCTCTTTTTCCTTTTTGGTTGTTTTCTTTTTTCAATAAATATGCAGAGTTTTCGGGAGATCAGCCTGTTGGTCAACTTTGTAGTTCAGTGCTGAGAACATTGGCAGCAGAGGAATCTGTGTCCCGTGGTAGATTATTCTTTCCAGTTGTGATAGCATTCATTTGCTGTCACTAGCTCACTCTAGCTGATCTTTTCAGGTTTATTTTTGCAACTTTTTCAGGTGACAGTCTTAACACAGCATTTTGTTTTTTGTTCTATTTATTTCCATCCATTTTTTTTTTTTTTTTACTTTTTATCTTTAGTGCTGCTTGAGGTTTTTATTTTATCACTGTTGTGATAATGATTTTCATTTGATATCACTGGAGGCAACTTAGTGCGTTAGTGTCAGTAAGTGAGCACATGCTGTGTCTGTTCTCTTCTCTCAACAGGCAAGTTGACTAACAGGTCAGCTTTTCCTTTAATTAGTTTTTCTTGATATTTTCTTCTGTAATCTCTTCATTCTGCGTCGTCTTCACGTTTCTTCTTTCTCTTGTCACTGTCATGTTTTTGCATCATTTCATCTCTTTTCCTTTGTCTACATCCTTTCTCTCACAGCTTCAAATCCTCCACACTCGCACCCCTCTCGGTCTGGTCTCTCTGCTGTCTCACTCTCTCAGGGGCCTCAGCTATCAGAGTTGTGCACTCAAGCTAGCGCACACACACAGAACTTTAAGTGTAAAAAGAAAAATAGCAGAAATACATGAATATAAAAAAGAAACTACAACTCCCTACCACAGGACTTAACAGTAGCAGATGTATGTTTGACATCTGTCTCGCAGCGGTCCCGAGGGGAATACTGGGTGAGAGGCTTGTGAAAATATCCCACATGTTCTCACTGTTGCCTCTCTTCCCGTGTCTCTTTCACTCCGTTTGTGTAGATCCATTAATGTCAGTGAGCCAAGCCTCGTACAGTCACCGCAGAAGCCTTGCTTTTGACTGTCTCTTCTCTGGGCCAGATACAGGGGGCTCACTCAGGGAAGTGAAATGTAAAAAAGGGAAATAAATATATAAAAAACAGCAAGTTAAATGCTCAGAGGGATACATCAGTCCACATGGCACACACTCACAAAGAAAAATGATTCAATGGGTTGTCAGCGCGTGGAAGTCATTACATTTCATCTTCTTGATTGAGCCCCCCGCTGCACCTACCTCTCGAGCAGGACCAGCCTATCAGGACCTAAAAGGCCGACAGCAGCGGCCGCTAAAAACCCACAACAGTCAGGACTGGCCAATCAGGGTCCAAACCCAAGTGCCTGAGGCCAACAAGGGGGGAGGCGGGATTTATATTCCTTTTACCTGTGTCCCCGTCATTGAACAACGCTACTGGTAATTAAGCTGCGTTGCGTAGGCAACAGATTACAAAAAAGATTTTTTAAAGTCAGGCTGGACGTGCCGTCTCTTTAATAAAACCAGGAAATATTATTCTGCTGCATTCTCTAATATCAAAGCCAACTTTGTATTGTGCTTTTTATTTATTTGGAGTTTGTTTGTGTAACGGGCAAAAGATGATATATTTTAAAAGCCTGCTGGTGTTGCAATTTAACATCATTTTGTACTACTGTGTAAAGTTTTGTTTGTTTTTTTTGTTTTTCTTTCTTCATACAGTTGAATCATGCTGTAAACCCTTTTAATGACTTCTATTCTGTGTTGTGTTTGAAAGCTAGAAGCTACTTGATAGTTGGCTGATTGGGGGGGTGTGGTTGTATATAGTTTGTAGGGGGGAGGAAGTGTGTCAGGGGGGTGTTCAGTGGCACAGTTTTTACCTCGTTAAGTGTACATAGACCTTTCTCATTGGCCGTTGGTGTACATAAGTGATTGTGATTGGCCGTGCTGGTGTGAAGGAAAGCCAATGAAGCCTCAGTTTGTGTGTGTGAATCTTTAGGACCAGACAAAAAGGTTGACAGTGACTGGACACACAAAGTATTAATTTATTTTTATATGTTCAGGGACATTGTGTTTCTTTTTTAAGTTTTGCACCATTTTCTTGATGAGAAGTCATTTTATACTTGGGGCACCGTGTTTTCATCTGTGCACACATTTCTTTGGATCAGTTTTGTACAAGTGAAAAAATAACAAGGGGGCAGGGGATTTGACATTGTATTTCAAAACACCAAAATAAAGAAACACTATGGATAAAGTAATAATTCAGCCTTTGTGTCAAGGAGTTTGTTGAAAATATGCATTGGACAGTGAATTTATTGTAAAGGTTACAAAGGAATTAATGTGCAATATTGAGCCATTTACACCTAAACTAATACTGAATATACTGACATGTAAAGATACTTTTTAAACTCCCAATACTTTAAACACTTTTTCAGAACAGTATAATCCAAATCCTATTTTCAAAATGTTTTTCTTGCTGACATAAATATAGTGCAGATTTGATTAATTATAGCAACAATGCTGGCAGTATATTGTTCTGAAATGCATTTAATATACAGTTTTAGACACCCATATGTATACACTATATATGTATTCATTTTATTTTTATAAGTTTATTTGATAGGGCTAAAGAAGAAGAAGAAGAAAGAAAAGCTAAAATTAGCCCAGAAGGCAAAAGAAAAAAAGAAACACCCTAAAAATAGTATAACACATTTTATGTAAATTCATGGATACAACATATTAAAATAGTACAGAACACATCCATCAATAAATTAAAACCTTGTTATGATACATGATAGTATTGTATTATTGTAAGCCAAATAAAGAAGTAGCCTAAGTTTTTAAATGTATACAGCTCTGGTTAAAGCAGTTTTTGTTTTGTTTTTCTGATCACGTATAAAAAAAACGATTCATGAGGTGACTCCAGATAAGCTGTGCATAAATGTGAAAATATTAAGTATATATTATTTAAACTTGCAAATATTACATGACATGGTATGTTGAAAAGGGTGAAATGGCTTACCTGGTTTTTATTATATGACATTAATTACATTGAAAATTATGGAGGAGATGGCGGCAGCGAGATGTGATTTATTCAGTAACAAGGGGGAGGAAAATGAATAATCATCGAGCTAAGAAGTGCCAATAGGAGCTGAACATCTTTAGATTTAAACAATGTGCTTCAAGGCTCCTGTCCTAACAAATATGCACATACACCCCCCAAAGCTGATGACTTCCAGCTGCCAAGAAACAACCAGTGTGTGTGTGTGTGTTTAGAGGTGGGGGCACCATTCTGCTACATCTGCTTCTGCCCTGGTAATTAAAAGCTCACTTTCCTCCTGCACTCCTGCTCCCCCAAAAATACCCCCCACCCCCTTCAGGATTTACCGCCCCGGCGCACACACAGCACACACACACACACCACACCAAGAGCAATCTAACCTGCATTCAACACACAACCCCCCTTTTCCTTCCTTTTTCCAAGCACTGCTCACCACAGCCCTCCACTACCAAATATCCACATGCGCCTTCCCTCCCTCACTATCACCTGCAATCAAAGGCAGGCTTTTAAACAGGCATAGCCCCTCCCACCACCACACCACCCAAGACCATCTCTTCAAGACCTCACCAGTCAGAGCTGCTCCGCCCTCCCACTCCCCTGTATAGCAGCACCACCTGCGCAGCACACACAACACACACACCCACACCAACACACACACACACACAGGGCAGAACTGCTGTGTCCATCATCGATCATACTCCCCCAGAAACCCACCCCAGGGGTGGGAGGGCTTGCCAGCTGATGGAGGACCCCTGTGTGCTGCCCAACCAGGTGCCTGATCACAAAGTCAAAACACTACTAAGCCCAAGTGTTAGCAGACTGAAGAGCTCGCTCTTTCTCACACGCACACACAAACACACACACACACACGCTGTGAGAGAAAGAGGCACACAGAGAGCAGATAAGCCAGCAGGAGGGTTAAACCCTGGATGATTAGACAAATGTTGGGCAGATATCTGTGGCTTCAGATGCGAGCTGAGCTGCTGTCAACGAGGAATGCATCAACATGGGTACCTGCCTCTGACTGAGCAGCCTCTGTAAGTTTCTGTCCCCGTGTTCTAGTGTTTGTTCTCCTGCTTCAAAATAAAGCATTTTAATTGTTTGGCATTTTTCAGAGACAACAAAAAGCCGGAGAACAAAACTGCAATCAAGACCGCTTGAAGCCGAGTGAAACCAAAGAGAGAAAAGCTTGATTTGATTCTGGATTTTATTTGTATTGTCTTGATTGTATCCATGAAAACCAAATGACACAGCTTGAAATGATTTGAAAAACTACAACTGTACAGTACACACACAAATTACTACATTCATAATTCAGGCAAAGCAGCAAATCTTACTGTATGTGACTAGGTTGTTATACATAAAAATGTCTACAATAAAAAACACAGTGAACAGAGAAATATGATTTTACCAAAGTAAAATTATGGAAGAGAGCAACTACAAAGAAGAGAGAGCACCTTGAAGACTATTTAATTTATGTTTACTTGTATTAAATGTATCAACCACTACTACCACTGTGACCTACAATTAAAGTCACACCTGTGTTTTTAGTCCACACTCCAGTTCATCGCTGTGCAATGAAAACCACTTACCTCCAAATTTGGTGATTTTGAATTTTGAAAAAAGTTCATAAACCATTTAAAGGCCACCCATTAGAAAAATGCACCATCTCAAAGTTTAAAGTAAAGCTGTTTTACTTTGCTCCTGTAAAGTGGGTAGTTTGGAGATTCATGGTTTTCCCACGAGTTTTTACATCCAGGATTTGTTGCCATCATCTTTCCCATCCTGCATGAAGACGTCACACACTAGAAATGAAAGCAGAACCATAAAACAGGTTAACCAAGTGCCATGAGTAATTCCTACACAGGTTTTGGCATATGTCTGGTAATTCAGTTAAATTATTTAATTAGACCTCAGCCTCAAAGAGAGAGAGCAAAGAGCAATAAAGCTGAGAGAGACTCCGATGTAATAAACCATTAGCAGGAGGAGGCAGCCGCTGGTGTGTACAGTAATGCAGTGTAAATCATCACAGAGTGGCTGCCATTAGGAGGCTTAATCCTAGCCAGAAACCTGCAGTCAGCTGCTAGGGGCCCTGATCCGGTGCCGAGTGGAACCAGATCCGGCAAACAGAGGTGTTTAGGGCCGGGGCAGGAGGAAGAGGAGGAGGAGGAGGAGGAGGAGGAAGGGGACAAGGAGACTGTAGGGGGAACAGCTGAGGAGATTCCCAGAGTGTGTGTGTGTGTGTGTGTGTGCGCGTGTGTGTGCGTGCCCCCCACAGGTCTCTCTCCTGTAGGATAATGGTGGCAAGGAGAAGCAGCAGGATTCAGCCTCATCCCTCTTCATTCTCAGATAGCCTGTATTCTTCTGCTAAGTGACACTCCTCTGTCACCCCCCTGATACACACACACACACACACGCATATACACACCCTTCCTTCTCTCTCCCTCTGCCTCCCAGTTCAATGACACCTTGGAGCTTCTGGATGCAATAACAACACACACAGTGACTGAAGGGGGGGGGGAGTGGACAATAAAAGTATAAGTGCACTGTTATTTCCGTCCGTTTTGTTTATTTAGCCTAAAAGAATCTCTGAGGGATTATTAGTCAACAACCACACACAGGTAAGGAAAAACTCCACAGAAGGACTTTGTTGGAGTCACCTTTTCAGTTTATATCAATAAAATGAAACAATTTTACAATCATCATTTAAACTAAAAACATCATAGAATACACAAGAAACCACTGCTGAATAATTGCAGCCAAAAAACAGTTACTGATAAATATAAAACAATTACAGAGAGAATAAAACTACAACACATTTTTATTTAAAAAAAAGAAAAAAGTAAATATTTTGCAGAATTAAAACAAAACTGAGTAAATAGAAGAAAGTTGGATTGGCTGTGAGGAACAAATGGATGATCAAATAAATATTTGGAAGATGTTTCTGCATGGGAGAAGGAATGCAAAGAAAAACCTCCAAACCTCATTTCTCCCTGCTCTCACCCACTGTTTGTGTGTGTGTGTGTGTGTGAGTGAGAGAGAGAGGAGAAGAGAGAGAGAGAGAGAGGGTAGAAACATCTACAACATCTATCTGTCTATCTGTCTGTCTGTCTGTCTGTCTATCCATCTATGTTATACATGTCTTATTCATTTGTCTCACGTTGGCAACCCTCAGAGGAAAATTGCAAATTGCTAAAAAATAAATACAAATTCTCTCAATAAATCCCAATAGGCTGCATAAAGGTGACTGTACTATTTATGTATTTTGGATTAATTTTAGAGAGATAAAAACGTTTCGTGTTAAAGGTTTGAAAGACTTCTAAATACAAATAAATAATATAAACATCTTCTTGGGATTTAATAGGCTGTATAAATAAGTTGTATGCGGGCCACATGCGGGGCAGATGCTGAGCTGTATTGGTTGCAGTGTACACAGTTGATCGCCCCGGCGTGCAGCAGCGTCTTCCCCGGACTCAGCGGCGCCTGGTCGGCTCGCCTGCCGCCCGTGCGACGCGGTGCGCGGCCAGCGAGCCGTTCCTGCTCCGCTGCCTGCGGCTCCCACTACCGGCGAGAAGAGAGGAGCTCCGAAAAAACCCGCACACAAGCGGGGAGGACAACTTCACTGTGCGCCAAGAGCATATAAATTCAGCGGCGAAGGGAGGTAGTTAAAATAAGCGATTTTCTGTTGTCTGCTATTCCCCTTCGATAGGGGAAATGCAGCTCTGCAGCAGAGAGGAGTTCCCAGCAGCTCTGCCGTCCACATTATCACCCTGCTTATTCTGTCCGAGGCTACTCGTCCTGTTGACTCATGTAAGATTCGCGCAACATTAAAAATCCTCTCAAATGTTGGATTAAAAGCAGAAATATTATTTTCACACACTCTCCCGAAATTATTGTTAGAAAAAAACAATATTATGCTCACTTTCTGAAACAGAAAGCACTACACTCCACTGGCTGTAGCCCATATTTTCAGATATATTCATCTAGCAAGCAAGTAATGTAGCCTACATACACTGTAATATTTGTGTATAATGTAACAGACAATGAGGGTCTGGTGACGTTATGATATTGGCACTTTTTTATAGGCACATGTTTTTGTGACCTCATGACCCTATTATATTTTATAATATTCTTAAATTGACATTGAAATTAGGTTTTGGTGACCTTAATCAATTAACCCTCCACTATATTACTATAATATAATTATATTCCAATAAGATCAAATAGTTTTGCTGTGATGTTTGTCTGTGTAAAATGTACAGCCGCCTGTCTGCGATCTCCACTGGGTTTTGTCTTGACCATCGACCACAGCAGCCAACTGCAGAGAAGCCACATGACCCACACAGAAATGCACTAAATTATGTATAAATTCAATTAAACTCATCTAGAAACCTCCCTTTTTTCTTTGCAATTGCCTTTTTTCCCTTTGGCTTTTATGTGTTATGTTGTTTCAAAAGCAGGTTTAGTCTTAATTTTAGTGTGGTACAAATGTGACATAATAATGTATTTATTTATATATTTATTTGCATGAGACCAACAGATTTTACAGGGATGTTTTAGGCATCCGTACTGATATGTTAGACCTCAAATAAAAATATAATAACACCAGAAATTAAATACACACACACACACACACACATTCATAAACATAATGGATTTTATCTTCAAATGTTTACATCTTACCTTAATAGTCAAAAGCCATCACTGTATTTCCTATATTTACCATCACTGTGAACGGGCTCCGGGTGAAGAATGAAACACCATTACAAGGACAGGTGGTGCTGGCAGAGATGAATGTAATCTTGTGGGGTTATAATGAATGTGACAGGATATAGATCTGAGATGAGATCTGGTTTTGATCATCAGGTAAAAATAGATCAGTAGGCAGCAGATTATTACTGATAATTACTTTCAAATGGTTGGCTATGTGAGATATCTATATTATTAAATAATTCCACCCCTGGTTAGTGGTGTGTGGGTGTGTCCATATATAATAATTACATTAAAAGTGATAGAGTAAAAGAAGAGGTGTGTTATTAATCATTTCCTCTTTTTGTACTTGTTGTCAGGTGACAAATTGGATTTTAGTATTCATCAAGCAAGTTTAGTGTTTCAGCTCAAAAAGCTTCCACATGCATAACAAATTACCAACCTCAAATCCTCTGACATTACAGGCTCCAACTGTATGTGTGTATTTTTATGATTAGCTAATAAACATCAGGGAAAAAGCTGTGCAAAGAGGGAGGGTTTCACACACACAAACACCTGGGGGCTGCCCTAAGCGGTTGATGGATAAGTGCCTTGCTCAAGGACACTGCAGTGGATTTTAAGGAACATATCCCTGTGGAGGCTTGAAGCTAATTTCCTGTATTGGAATCAGAACATCAGAGATTGAAGAGCAGTCGGACCGCTGCTGCAATCACGATAAATGAGTGAACAACAAGCATGTAAAGAGACCTGGGATTTCTCCAACGGCAACAGCTGTTAAATGGTAAAAGACCCAGGCTGCATAATGGTACAGGCTGGTGTGTGTGTGTGTGTGTAAGAGAGAGCCCTCCCCCTCCCCTGCTCATCCACCTATCAGCAGGCCTCGTTTATTATGCAGACTGGAGACCCCTGGGCTAGAGGGGAAGGCTAGTGTGTGTGTTTTGGAAATGGGGGGTGGTGGTGGTGGTGGTGTGGGGAGGGGGTACATGTGATCGCACAAGAGCTCACACACACACACACAGCTGATTCAATTTCTTTGCTCAGCAAAATACATCTGTGGGAGTAAGGGGCAGAGAAAGAGAGAGAGAGAGAGAGAGAGAGAGGAGAGAAAGAAGATAGAGGAGAGAAGATATTTTCTGTGTGTAAATGGCAATATAGTGATTGCTTGAACTGTGTGCTTGTAACTGTGATTTTTTCAAGGGCTTCATGACAGGTAAAGTGGTGTGTGTGGGTTTCAAAGGGAGCTGGCGTGCTGTCTCTCTGCTACTTGATATTCCTGCCGCTCAGAGAGGGAGAACACAAAAGGATATCTCCGCTGGTGATACTGTCTAGAATGCATTTTCACCCTGAAAAGCATCTGTGGACAACAGGTAGCTTAATACAACATGTTCTAATTCATTTGTTACAAGGAATATTACCATTAAAACAGCTGTGGCCTCTGTGTGTCCTAAAGCAGAAGACATCAAAAGCAGGGCATTACCTGCTTTTTTCTTAAGCAGACAAAATTCATATTTTCGCTGCTGCAGGTCTGGAAATTACCCATTAATCAACAAAAAAACATGGTTTGGAACTTCACACTAACAAGCTTAAAAGTCAATTGTCCACTTGTGGTAAAGCAGCTGTGCTGGCAGAATAGTGATTGTAAATTCTTGTTTTATTACTGTAGAAGTACTAATTTTGTGGATTCTTATAATGCTATTTTAATACTTTTACTCCACTATATTATTCATCAGGTGGGTAATATTGTACTTTTCCAGTATATTTTATTTGACAAGTAATTAATGACTTGTCAAATCTAATAGATTATGTATTCATACATCAGGTATGAATTAAAGCCTTATAAAATAAAATAATAAGGACCCTCCAGCACATGCATGTAAAGAGTTATATAATACATTTATAGTTTAGAATTTCCACAGTTAAATACTATTCTTCTAACTCATTACATATTAGGCAAATTTGTTGTTCATTTCTAAAGTTTCCTGCCTGGACACAAGATCCACTCTCAAGTGTAAATGTGCAACTAGTGCTTCAAGTTTCTGCTTTCAGCAGATGAATGGTTGAAAACATCCTTTTTAGTGTCGAACTCTGCACATAATCATTCTGCACAGTGAAGCTTCAAACAATCCAACTGTAGGAAAGAGAAGAGAAACATATTTTTTGAGCTGGAGGGGGGACTTTTGAGATTAAAGCAGGGGTGTTTGTTGGTAACTTTATGAGTTGTTAGACGCAGACAAAATGTCCAATCATTTCACCAAAAAAAAAAAAAAAAAGATTAGAGAAAAGTCCCAAAATGTGACAACAAATTTGTGGTAGCTGAACTTCTGTTTTTCTTCTTTCCTGCCCATTAATCATTGGATGACCGCACTGGAGGGGGGCTTGACCCTCAGCCTTGGGAAACAACTAGATAAACTACCTAGACTGTATAGTAAGTCAGTTAAACATAGCTCCACCTTGAACCAAACAGGCTTCAACAGGTGAAATTACTAACTTCTGTTGTTTTTGGTTCGCAGTAACAAGCTAATCATATCTATCACAGGGAGCAGGGCAAGTGTGCAGTACTTAACGTATGACTTCTAATGCCTACTTTTAACTTTAAAACTTAAAACTGAGTTTGTTGTTTTTATTTTTTTCAAATTGGCACTATAAGTTGAGGATTCTATATTTTTACTCTCTTCCACTAGACTTCAGTTATAAACAAACATAATCAGAAAATTAGTTGGTAGTCAGTTTGCAAAGACGCCAAACCTGAATATCAAATCAAACAACGTAACAGGTCTCTTGATGCTGTTTGTAACTATTTTGCACTGATACAAAAGACTGGGTAACTGAAACACATGCATATTCTGTTTACACTAGCTGCACAGAAACGGATCTGAGTTTACATGGGGATACGGGCTTCAATAATTGCCTGACATACTACACAACTGATTATAATTAGAGTATAAACATAAACTAGAAGCGTATTCCACAACTGGGAAGGCTATTCTTTGATATTAAAAGTAGTATTCTCCATTAGTCTCCCTCATTTCAAGTTGTTGACACGCATTTAGTGGCCAATTTAAAAGCTGCAGTCTAATCTTTTTAAAAGGTCCGCAGGGTAATGTTGGAAAATGGTCCAGAGGAGAAGGGCAGAGGGGATGGAAGAGCGGATAAAGGGAGGAGGGGAGGAGAGAACTCAAATCCCTAAAGCACCAGGTGCACCTTTGTCGAACATATCTCGCCAAACCCTCGAGACCGCGTCTATCACACTGGCAACGATCCACGC